ACAGCAGTCAGATGGTAGGAAAAGCACACAAACCAAACATCTGAGTTGGGCCAGCTGTGTCATTTCGAGTGAATATACTGGGTTTAGTTGTGTCCTCCAAAAAGATATATCCAAGTCCAACCCCTAGTACCTGTGAATGTGACCTAATTTGGAAATAAAGTCTTGGCAGATGTAATCAAGTTAAGGATCAAGGGATAAGATCACTCTCGATTTCAAGTGGGCCTTAAATCCAATGAGTGGTACCCTTAAAAAAGAAAGACATGCTGGGCACAGTGACTCACATCTGTAATCCCAACATTTTGGGGGACCAAGGCGGGCAGATCACTTGAGGCCAGGAGTTCGAGACCAGCTTAGCTAGCATGGTGAAACCCCATCTCTACTAAAAATACAAAAAAAATAAATAAATAACTGGGTGTGGTTGTGCATGCCTGTAATCCCAGCTACTTGGGAGGCTGAGGCAGGAGAATCACTTGGACCTGGGAGGTAGAGGTTACAGTGAGCCAAGATCACACCTCTGCACTCCAGCCTGGGCTACAGAGCAAGACTATCTCAAAAATATAAAATGAAATAGAAAAAGAAAGAAGATGGAGATTAAAGACAAAGAGACAGGGATGGCAGGCATATGAGATGGAGTCAGAGGTTGAAGTGATGCTGCCACAAGCCAAGAAACACCAGGAGCCATCAGACACTGGAAGAGGCAAGGACGGGTTCTCCCACAAAGGCTTTGAAGGGAGTATGGCCCTGCCAACTCCCTTATTTCAAACTTCTGGCCTCCAGAATGGTGAAACAATAATGTTCTATTGTTTTGTTTGTTTGTTTGTTTGTTTTGTTTGTTTTTTTGAGACAGAGTTTGGCTCTGTCGCCCAGGCCAGAGTGCAGTGGCACCATCTCGGCTTACTGCAAGCTCCGCTTCCCAGGCTCAAACCATCCTCCCACCTCAGCCTCCCAAGTAGCTGGGACTACAAGTGCCCACCACCATGCCCGGCTAATTTTTTGTATTTTCAGTAGAGACGGGGTTTCACTGTGTTAGCCAGGATGGTCTCGATCTCCTGACCTCGTGATCCACCCGCCTCGGCCTCCTGAAGTGCTGAGATTACAGGCATGAGCCACCGTGCCCAGCCTGTTCTATTGTTTTAAGCCAGCAAGTGTGTGGTAATTTGTTAAAGCAGCCTAGGAAACTAATACAGCAAATAACTTAACTCTCTAAGGTTCTCTTTTAACACCAGTAAAATGGGGATCATTGTGCTCGACCTTCCTTCTTCACAAATTTATTAGGAGGATTCACGATAATGTATGTTAGCATGATCTGGGAACAAAAAGAAACTACTAAGAGGCCAGAAATGATCACTATAGTAATACTATCAGTAACATTATTGTTTAGTGACGTCTCCAAGAGCTGTAGAAAGTTTTCACAGCCAAGACTGGGAAGAGAAATGCACCAGGACCAGCCCAAACCCATCCCCGCTACTGAGTTAATATTTTACCAAGTCGATTAAATCTTCAAATGATACCAGAGGTAATTATTACTTTCCTTTAAAAGAAAATGAAATACTCCAATCTATTTTAATCATGTCTGCTCCGTGCATGCAGGGTATTCAGAGAAGCCTGTTCAAGATAAATTAAGGGTCCTTGGGGCACTGCTGGAGTGCTTCTGTGCTGTGGGTCTACATCCTCTGGGACCTCTTGCCATTGCCTAAACTGTATCTTGAGATTCAGAATCTAAGCTTCTTTTCTTCCTAATTCATTCTTTATCTCTAAGACAATCTCTCTGATTCTTGCTCTGATTTTTGGACAATCTTCTCCGCAAGCAAAAAAAAAAAAAAAAAAAATCATCTTGCCATAACCAGAAACTTCTGAGAGCACTGCACAATGCCAAGTCAAATTTTTCCAACCTGTGCCACTGAAACCATGCTGGCTACTGTAAGGCAGATCATGGAAGATGCTTCCAATTCACTCAATAAGAGGCACGCCCCCCTGGACAGAGGGGAAGTCATGAGCCAGGGGCTTGGTCAAGACCATCCCCCTCATCCCACAAAAGTAAATGAGAGAAAGTAGAGGAAGAGTCTTGGTGCACTGCAGGAGCTCTGAGATGGTAACCTGTTTGTTTGTTTGTTTGGTTGGTTGTTTCCTTTGATTCCATTCAAGGGACCCGCCATCTTGAGAGGGGCTTCTGGAAGGAGAGGCTGAGCATGCAGAGTGTGTTGCTTGAGTCAGGTGAAAGAAAGAGCATCATCTTTGGAAACAGCAGATCAGATCCGGGTAGTGATAATAATAAAAATCATAACACTCATTCCCAGATGTACCACTTACTAGCCATGTGATCTTGAACTAGCTGTTTAACTTAGCTAAGCCTCAAATCCCTCATTTGTAACACTGGTTATATGGCTACCTCCCTGTGGGATTGTTCCAAGGATGAGACAGAACCTCACACACATGAGGTGCTCCAGATATGCCTCTTCCTTCTCCTTCTGTCCTACTGGAAAAGTCGTGGACACTCAGACCTTCCATTCTTATAGCAAGGATCCTCTACTGGGCAAGGGGCTGGTTGGGGTACAGCAGAGGTCCTTAATGATGGAAAGAAACATGCTAAGGAATTGCTGTGCACCCTCTACCTCTTCTGTCCCTGCAGAGGGTCACTTGAAGTCTCACACTTCTGGTCTGTGGCTTTCCTGGCTCCACAACGCACTGAGCCCTTTCTCCTCCAGGGCCAAAATTCTTTCTTCCTGGAAATACCCAACCCATCCCCACACCCCAGCCCACAGGCTCCATCAGGCAGACCCTAGCAGTCTAGATGGCTCATGGCAGATGGCGCCATGTGGACTAATCAGGAAGTCAGACAAGAAAATACTACCCCCTCTTCCATTTGCCAGGAACTGGGATTGTTTGGATTTTAATCATAGCCACAGCTAAGAGCCAACACGCGGCCCCTCCAGCCAAAAGATAAATTTTTCTCTCTCAAGATTCAATTCTTCCTCAAAAACTAGACCCCTACCAGGGCGACTGCTCCTTAGAGGGGGGGCTTCTTTATTCTCTAATATAATTTTTTCTTAGTTAACAATATGACAGAAATAAATGTACCATGGACATGGTGGCACTCACACACTGACTCACACTGGAGGGAATGTCTTCATTCCTCCATAAGTCACATCTAGCTCACTGTTGTATTGATCCCAGGCAAAGATGAATGCAGAATCCCATGATCCTCTGGGAGAAATCTGACATTTTCTTTAAATATATATCTACGGAATGACTGTTTCTAAAACTCCACGAAACAGGTCACCAGGGCAGCAGCACACCATTGATTTCACATCCAATAATTTTTTAGAAAGAGCACTGAACATTTTCTCAATAATTCAGTCAACAGCAGACCCCCTGTGTTCCCTGGAGAGATGCCATCCCTGGTCTCCTGAAGATGAAGGGGCGACGGGTTCCAGAATAATTACATGCAAGACACCCAAGAAAGAGATCCTCCAAGGCCCTCAGTCAGTTCTAGGGTAACTTCAGAAAGACCACAATCATGTCTTTTTTTTTTAAATTATCGTAGAATAGATCGTTGTGTTGGAAACAGACTGAAAACATTGGGAGATAGTTGAGCACAGTGGTCAAGGCTTTGGGTCCACACCCTGCCACTATTCAGTGAGTGACCTTAAACAGGATACTTAACCTTGCTAAGCATCTTAGTGTCCTCCAAAGTGAAGTGATAGTAATAATTCCTACTTACAGAATTGCCATAAGGATTAAAGTAAATTAAGTATACAACTTAATAGATTGCTTGGCACAATGCCTGGCACAGAGGAAGAACTCAGAAATCAGTGTTAGTAGTAAATTGTAGTAGTCATGTTAATTTATCTTTTCCACCTACAGTATACAAGGTCATCATGGGGTAATAGGTTATTGGGATGCTTGATGTAAAGCATCAAGAGCTGGGTCTGAAAAGGTAAGGTTTTGACACATCCATGAAGTCAGGTCTTGCTAGGTGAAGGGAGAACAAGTTGAAAGGCCAACGGCATAGGCAGAGGTCCAAGGTCATTGCCTCTTGGTAGAGTAAAGCAATCTGCATTCAATGAATTTGGATCTGCGTCACCAAATAAGAGGGAACACATGAGTGGTGTCTCTGGAACCCTGACTCCCTAACTTGATCCATGCCTCAATTCCTTTTCAATTTATTGCTTGATTTATACCCTCAACATAATATGATGTCCTTCATGCACAGAGATGACCCCGATGACTCACTCATCAACATGAGTTATTTTTTCCAGCAGTAGTCATGAATGTTCACTCATCCAGCTTACATCTGTTTGTGCAGAATGACTGGCTGGGATAGGGGTGCCCTGATCAGCCTTGGACCACAGCAAGGTTAAGCAGTCCACACGCTGATAGAAAAAATATATGGCCTCCTCAAACCCCTTGCATGTCAATACTCAAGCCAAATATGCTGAAGAAGATTATGAGTGGTGAAAAGACACGTACTTTGAAGTCAGAAGGTGTGGGTTCAAGTCCCAGCTTGGCTAGTCCCTAGAAATGTGCTCTTAGTTGAGTCTCGCATGTCTTTCTAGGGCTCAGAATTGTTACCCATAAAATGCAGAGAATAATAATATCTACCTCTTATGACTCTTATGATGATAAATCTAAGGTTATATAAATGAAAGCATACCTAACAGTCTATCAAGTTACATACTATGAATGTTATTTGTTATAAATTCTTTATTATAAATATCTATACTATTATAACTAATTACCTACAGATCACAAAATTAAGTCATGATAAGAGAAGAGACTCCTGTCTTCTGAAATTGATTGTGCCCAGAAAGAGCATCAGAAGTCAAGTGACAGGGTTAATTGCTGTCACTGAATATCGTACATTCTATGTCAACCAACCCAAGGAGGCTCTTCAAGTAGATGTATGCTCAGCCTTCAGGTAGTTCCATTGCTTGACACTTCTCCCCATTCACCCATTACCAGCACTTCAGTACCTGGACAGTCTTCAAAACCAAACTTACAATTCCCGAAGACTCAGCGTCTGGAAGAGCTGCCACGAGAGTGTGGTGAGCCGGTTACTTGACAGGTTTCTGCAAGATTGACAAATAAAGGGAAATTTTTAAAACAAGTCTGGCACAAATAATGCTCTAGGTAGTAAGCTTAGTCATTTCACTGGAGCCTGGCTATGTTTTCCCTCTTCTTCATTCTGCTAGGCTAGTGATACATCTGCTAATAGTTGAGGCCATAGATCAGGTTTGGATAGGCTTTTGAGGCCTTTTAAAGGGCAAGATTTTACAAATCAAAGAAACCATTAAATTATTATGGTCATTCTCCCATATGCCCTCCCCACAATAAAAGTTTACAGAGCCTTTGTGAAGCCATCCTTCTCTAAGAGGACAGGGAGTTCTCAGGGTAGATAAGCCCACTAGCATTCTTAACATGCACACAGGTCGAAAAACTCTGCAGGTCACCTACAATTCCATTTAGCCAGTGTCTCTCCCAGCAAACATGCCCACCAATGATCAAGACATCAGCCTTTTGTTCACACGTCTGTTCTCCTCCTAATGGCTATTTAATTGTTCTCATTAGGATGTACAGGGGAAAGGAGCAGCCATTAGTCTTCTGGATAAAAGAAGAAACACGCCCACGGTTATTACTTTGCCAGGCTCAGCAAACAACTTTTGATGTGATAACAGCCCTTAAAGGCAGCAGTTAGACACTGCTAGAATTGAAGTGGCATCCCAGGAACAATGTACTCATCTACTGATGGGAACAAATGGCAGTGCTGATTCCATTTAGGTAAATATCTATCCACACAAACATGATGTGTGTATACTTGTGTCTATTAAACCTGTAGGTACTAAAGGCAAACACAGACTCTTGTTTATACACATACATATGCTTACACACACACCTATATTTAGATGACTTCTACAATAAATATTTATTGAGGCTCCACTGAGGAATGAGGGGGTTGACCATTGAGGGGGAAGGGAAGTTCTCTCTGGAATCTTATATTCAAGTTAGAGATGAAAAGCAGAAGGAAGAGTATCAACACCGTGATATAAGTAACTGATACAGGAGTGGGAAGGGCTCAGAGAGAAGTGCCTTCTGAAAAGGTAGCATTGGTCCTGAGCCAAGAAGAAGAAAGAGCTGAGTACCAAGGGAGGAGTGTTTCAGGCAGTGAAAGTAGCAAATGTCAAGGCCTGAGAGATCCAGGGGATCAGGAAGGAAGTCAGTCAGGAAGGACTGAGGAGTGCTTTGGGATAAGTGGGAGAGGGATTCACGCCACACTTGTTGGCCATAGGGAGGAGTTTGGATTTGATATTAAAGAGTGGTGGGAAGGCATTGGATGGTTTTCAGCAGAGAAGTGACATGGTCTAATTACCATTTTTAAAAATAGAAGGCCAAGACTGGAAGTTGGCAGGCCAGTTAGGAGGCTGCTACAGTCTTCCAACCAAGAGAAGGGAGTGGAGATAATCAAGTTGATGGATCAAGATAAGTGTTAGAGGTAGAGCTGCCAGGATTCCTATTGGATTGGATTTTGGAGAGGAAAGAGAACTGAGTGGCCAGGTGAATGGTGACATCATTGAGTGGCCAGGTGAATGGTGACATCACTGAGTAGAATGAGAAAGCCTGCCAAAGGATCACATGGAGGCTATGGGATAGAGACCTTCCCCTTGCAGATATCAAGTTTGAAACATTGTTAGCTATCCAAAGAGAGAAGTCAAATCGCCTGCTGGATTCCTGGGTCTAGAGCTCATGGGAGAGGTTGAGGCTGGGTAAGATCACATAGGGAGAGAGTCTACCCAGTTCATAACAGGGTAGACACAAAAATACAAGAAAAACCAAAGATACATGGCTTCCCCTTCTCATTGGATGCAGCCCTTTTTGGTGAGGTGGCTTGGTTCTAACTCAGCCTGAACTGGCTGGGTCCCTGAGACGGCCCATTACTGTGCAGGGGAGGCAGTCTTATGCTGGGGGTGCAGGTGACTGGAGGAGAAGGGAAAGAAACGTAGGTAGATGTCTCCCAAGTTTACTGTTCTGCTGTCTTCCCCGTACCCAGCACTCTCTCTGTTCAGAGTTTTTAAGCCTCTAGGATAGTCCCCATGGCCCTACACTGTCACCAACCTCCTCTCTGCAAGGCTGAGACCTCTGTTATGATAGCATATGCTCACTAAAAGCCTATACACCTAAGCCATCCATCATGCTCAGCTTCACAAAACCCCTAATGACTATACATCTTATTCCTACAAACTTTCACTGTTCCTCCACCGATCAGAAAGAAAGGTGTGATAAAAGAACTGCAATGATGACCACCTGAGGACACCACCTGGGCAAAGCCCCATGGAGCAGCTCAGCTCCTGCTCAGAAGGGTGGAGCTGGAGACCAGACACACACTCCCACTGAGTCATGACCCTACCCTAATAGACCAGGAGCTCAAACTTGGGGTTCAGGACAACAGGATTTAGTACTGCTCTGAGTCTCCATTGCCATTAGGCTTTATGAGGTTTTATTAAATCTAAGTGTTTGATTCATCTACGTAGAAATCTTCTGTTTTGCTTTATTTTGCCTGGTTTACTCTATGCACAAGAGCATCACAGCAGCAAAAGCTGGACAAGCCCCCAACTTCCAAATCCACGAGGTAATCACTGCAGCACTTTGGGAAGGTGCCTGTCCCCTGCCTTTAGCTCCCTACCCCTCTCCAGTGCCTCCCTGAACAAAACCCATGGTCCTGAAGCTGAGAAGCTGTATCCAATGGGTAGTTGGCAGTCAGAAAGCCCAGACTCATTGAGCCCTGAAGAACATGCCCCTGGTAAGGTACAAAAGCAACTGGTGGGAACTAGCAAGACAGCAGACAGGAACAGCCCAGGTGAAATGGGCAGCCCTGCCCATCTCCGAGGGAGAAGCAGGCAGGGAGCCTGCCAGGAGTCCTGGGGAACCCGAGGCAGAGAGCAGGCTGCCAGTGATGTCCTCTCACAAAGGTCATGCTTTGCTACATTAGGCAGAAATGTCAAAAGAAAATTGGATTCTGAAAGAAAGAAAATAACAGACATTCTGGGCAAATAAAGAATAAGAAATAGCATTATTGCCTTATTACAAGTTAGAGGAGGGAGGGGTCCTGAGACACCTGTTAAGGGGAAAGTGGGCTCCTGCTCTCCCAGAGCTATCTCGGCTTCATCTCCCCCTGCCCCTCCCCCACCCATCAAGCCCCACCTGGATTCCTCTGGCTCTTTGGATGGATGGAATGGACTGAAGCACTCATGTGCTCTGCCCACAGACACAGAAAACCCAGTGCCTGTTTGCGGAGACTGGAAACTGTATTACACAAGTTCAGGGAGGAGTGCAGGGTGCACAACCCTTGCAACTGTACACAATGCCCTGCCAGACACACAGTAGAAGCACTAAGCCCCAGGAATGAACTTATACAAAAAAGACAAGAAGTAAGGCAAACATATACACTCCACAAAACAAGCAGAGCATGCCTCTGGCCACCCTGCCCTCACCGGCATTGATAAATTCTCATGGTGCAGGGTAAATAAAGAAGCTTCTATATGAATTGCCACCCACTCGGAACTCACTGCCCCTGATTTTTTCTTCTAGCTGGGGCCTCACCTATATGCACCTGTCATCAATTATTGATGAGCTGGTTACTCTGCTCATCAGACAAGAGTTTAATTAAGAACCATCCTGCCTCTGAGCCCTGTGGCAGCCTTTTCCGTGGGCCTCCTCCCTAATAGATCCATTATCACCCGTCTCTGACTTTTGCTTGGGTCAATGGCCAGTTTCCAAGCCACCTGACCGTTGAATTAATTTGGTGAGCAAGATTTTACGAGACGATGCATCAAACTCCCAAAATCAAGTTCCGTGACACTGCCTCTTCTATCTCTCGCCCGAGACTTCCAAACAAAGCCATTAATTTTGTGCTGCACAACTGGCCCTCTCACAGACCAGACTCTGGGGTCCAGAGGTAATAAACGATGATGATGTGGCTACTGGGTGCTCCGGGAACAAGGAGCCAGACACACAGATGGCTGAACCCTGGGCCCTGAGGAACAACAGAGCTGAGATGTCACCTCTGGCATTAACCCCATAACGAACAGGGGTCCTCCCAGGCAACCTCTCCTCTGACCAGTAAAAACCTTGGCACAGTAAGCAGTCGTATGACCTTCCTAATGGTGGCACCCAACTACGGCAGGAACGGAGCCCACAAATGGGGAGGATTTCACCTTCTACCCTGGGAACCCTGTTGTTACAAAAGGGTCAACAAGACGGACCCTGTTGCCAAGAGAAACCAACCAGATGAGAAACCAACCTGTTGCCCCTTTGGGGGTTGAGAGTTGAGACAGTAAGCCCCATCTGAAAAGTGGTCCTGAAAATGGAAGGATTTGTGGATTTCCTGGATTAATAGTGGGGCTGATATTTGGAAGCACCTCCTCTTCTACTGGCAGAGGCAGGCTAATGGGCAGGTATGTCTTAGAATTTGCATGTGTAAGGGATTGCTGGCTGCAGGTCCTCTGCATCTCTGAGCTATTAAACCAGACTGCCTCACCTGTGCACTGCCACTCTCGCTCCTGGATGCTCACTCCACCTCCATACCTCCTTGGTCCCTCTCACTTGAGTGTTTTCTGTTGTAATGGGCTGAATTTTCTTTCCTCAAAATTCATTTTTAAAATCCTAACCCAGTCGGGCACCGTGGCTCACACCTGTAATCCCAGCACTTTGGGAGGCTGAAGTAGGTGGATCACCTGATGTCAGGAGTTCGAGACCAGCCTGGCCAACATGGTGAAACCCCATCTCTAGTAAAAATACAAAAATTAGCTGGGCATGGTGGTGGGCCCCTGTAATCCCAGCTACTTGGGAGACTGAGACAGGAGAATCGCTTTAAACCAGGAGGCGGAAGTTGCAGTGAGCAGAGATTGCACCATTGCACTCCAGCCTGGGCAACAAGAGTGAAACTCCATCTCAAAAAAAAAAAAAAAAAAAAATTCCTGACCCCCATTGTGTCTGTATTTGGAGATGTGATCTTTAAAGAGCTAATTAAAGTTAAGTGAGGACATATGGGTGGTCGTTAATCCAATATGACTAG